GGCTAAGTAATTAAAGCCTACCTATTAAATACATACCTAATCAAATATTTTCGAAATCGGTGCCAGGCCATATAAAGCAAAGCACACCGACTTCGAATATATTTGATTAGGTATGTATAGTATATGAAAACTACCAATCAGTTATTTTTTACTTTTTAGTGCTTTTGTTTTAAGTCGGTTTTTATTTTTTTGTTAAAAAGTTTTTATTATTGATAACACCAAAGCTCTTCAATAGTTACTAAGCAAAAAAATAATAATAAAGAAAATCGGTTGACAAACAGAGAAGAAAAATGTATAGAACTGTCTAATCTCTGCCTATTTATATATTTTAACAATAATATCGTAAAAGAGTTATAACTAAATATGTATGTATTGTATTTTTAAGAAGTTTTTATATGGGACTATCTTTCAGGTAATGAATGTATTACTCTTTATTGTACACTCAAAAGGAGAAAAAGAAAATATACAAAATATAGAAGAAGGTACAAAAGGCGGCTTTATCGCTAAAAGAGCGATTTCTTCCAGGCAACCTTTAGGTGTAGGATATAGTACTAAGACAGAAGGGGCGCGAATAACAAACAAATAAAGAGACAGTAGAAAGATTATATATTTATACATATACGTATCATACAAATATGTTATAAATACAAGTAAAATATAATTAACCAATACCTAAATACTATAACTACATATATAAATACCTATATTATACATATATAAATATTAAATATAAAAAGGTAAGTTTAGCAAGAATTATACTAAAGTTCACAAAGATAACAAGGTAGTCCTCTAATTATCGTTATATCTATATAATATATAAATATATATCTTATTATTTACTGACAAACATTAGTGTAATGAAAAAAAAATTGAAACAATTAGTGGAAACAGTTTTTTTATATAAATTGGCACATTCTATTAATATATATGTTCAATAATGATTATGCCCTAATTTCGAACACTGGACAAACGTACTATGTTTAAAAGTAGCTATATAAACTATAAAAAATAAGTATTGTCTATACTTTTAACATAATATTATCTAGCGATTCTAGCTGCATAATACGTACCTTAAAAATATTATTAATAATTAATTTTATCACTTTTAAAAGTTAAAGAAAGATAAGGATATCTCCTCAGAAGAAAGTCCATAAAAGTAAAAGTAGGTTGGCCATAAAGAGGATTTTATATTTCCATCTTTTAATGAATCATCAGCCAATTGATAACACGATTTTATATATTTTTAAGCTCAAGATAAGGTTCCGTATTAAAATGTTGTGATAATAGCAAATTATATTTTTACTCTATTGCAAGTCACTTTCTCAACAAATACATATTATGAAACATATTTGCTTGCTTACAGCTTGTGCGTTCATAGCTCAAAAATATTTATCTACCTTGGTGTTTTATAATAGAAACTACACAGCTCCATACTTTGTTAAATACTAGCGACTCACCCTGGCTTCGCTCGGGTTCGTCCCTAGGTTGTTTCCTCCTTTAAAGGACGATTTCCGAGAAAAAAATATTCTATCTCCTTCCCAGGGTCCCAAACTATCTTCCTACTAAATTGCATCTAAATCAGTCCAGTAGTTTGGGAGCTTACTCGGCACAAGCAAACAAACAAACAAAAAAACTTTCCTCTTTATAATATTAGTATAGATTTTTAATAAACTCATAGGCAACATTCATAACGTAGAAAACTTCAAGTTACAACGAATTTCATTCAAAATAACATTCTGACATTAAGAGCTAGAAAAATTTACTCTAGCGTACATATAATGATATTTTATTTTCATTTTATACTACTTATCCACTTAACCAAGAATAATAAAAAACACATTAGCATAAGTTAAATACATTAACTGAAAAGAGAGGCTACTTTAATTCTATTACTTATGCATATTTAATCTATTAAATAGGCAGAAAAGAACAGTTCAGTACCTTCTTCTCCTATGTTTATCAGCGAACTTTCTTTTATTTGTTTATTAGCTATTGAAGAGCTTTTATATCAATAAAAAGTTTCAAAAACCTTTAGATTTTTTAATATATATAGGTAAATAATGATTATGGTCGAATTTCAACGACTTGGTGAACTCTAGTATGTGAGTTTGTCGTAGTAAATGATTTGCAGTACAAAAGACTTCAACGATATTTAATATGTTAGACGATTGCGCTACTTCTACAAATCACTAGTATATAATGAACTACCTAATGTTTTATATTTGCTACTTAGGACATTTAGTTATCTTCATTACAATTGTACTTTTTTTTAATTCTTAATATTATGTAGTAAATAATTATTAAGTGATAAAAAAAAGTTTTTTTGCACTTAATCATATCAAAATCTTACAATGTGGTATATTTTTTGAAGTCATACTTCTTTTGGTATGGGTGGAAAGAAATATAAGAGTAAAATTTTTACAGCCAAAAAGCGACATCATGGAATTAGCTGCATTCCTTTTACAAACAGAGAGTTGTGACATACGGGATGAAATCTTTAGCTATTTTCTTTCTGTTACGTCAAAGAAGTACAACTTCGTACATAAGTACACACACACGTTTTTTTATTTTCATATGTATTTTATTTTAATTATTATTAATAATTAATTATTATTAATACATGCATTTTGCATATAAAACATTCGTAAGACATATACTATAAAATCTTGATAAAGACCCCTAAATCTCAGAGTGCAAACTAGTTTTATTTATTCGGTCAGTATGCTATTCCGGTTTCGGTCAGGGCCGTAAGGTCGTTAACCTTTCGAAATCTAAATGTCACGTGACACATTATCACGAAAACAGAGCTTATTCCGAAGCAAAAATACATGTTGTTAGGGTAATATTTGAAAATTAAAAATTGCATTTAATTTTGATAATTCTACATATATTTTTAACTGGTAGTATTATTAATATATGGGTATATTATATGTATATTAAAAAACTTCCAAACAAAGCTTCTGTTAGCAAAACTTTCAATGCGTAGAGGTGGATGAGTCATAACTTGGTAATTCCATTACGTGTAAATGAAAGTCTCACTTAGAACCACAAAAGTGAATTTAGTGAATACCTAATAACTAATGCTCAAAGTTTATGTTATTGTAAACAAAGGTTGTGGCTTCTAAAACCACAAACGATTTGTCGTCTACAATATATATATATATATAATATATATATATATATATATATATATATATATATATATATATATATATATATTATATATATATATATATATATATATATATGAATATTGTATAACTCTTTTTTATCCCTAAGGTTTATTTTTAAATCTATTTATTGATAGAAAATTCTGCTATCTTATATTGATAAAGCCCATTAAGTATTTTTTTTAATTATCTGTTAATTTCGTAGTTTTAAATACATTGCATACAATGAAAATGGTTCTATTTTGGCATAAATCTATATATAAATAAGTAAAGACAAAAGTGATTAGTGCCTTTTCTCCTCTGTTTATTTTATTTAATTATTGACGAGCTTTAATACTATCAACAAAAATTTTAGAAACAAAAGTTTTTATTTTTTTACTAAAGATAGGAGAATTATTCATTACTATCATATTATATCTATTATTCATATACGTTTTCCTTAAAATTTTCAATAATGATTATGGTCAAATTTTAACCACATATCGAACATTATTAATAATAATTGCTGAAAAACATACATAAGTGAACATTTAAATTGCTTAGTAAAATTTTAGCTTGTTATTAATACAAAAGGTATGGCATTTGTCTGTTGGTGGAATCAAAACCTTTTTAAATCCAGGCTATTTTACGTAAACACTTTACTACTAATGTATTAAAGAATGTTATGAATATGTCAGTATAACGGTAGAACATATGACGTTCATTAGTTAACGGCTTGTGTTTACTCATTCGACTGGTTTTGCGTATTTTGTTGGTCCCATTTATATTAGCGGTATAAAATACATACATTCAAATTATTTCCTTCTGCAATTATAATTTTGCTAACATTACTTCCTACTTCCGCTTGTACTTAAAATAGGATTACTCTAATTGTTACATATTTGTAATTAAAAAGAAGTTTTTTTTAAATTGAATGATTTAATTTATTTTATTGAACCTATTTTTATTATTATCTATACTAATATTATAAAGAGGTAAAGTTTGTGAGTTTGTGACGTTGTAGGGGGTAATCTCTGGATCTACTGAACCGATTTAGATGCAATTAGTAAGAAGATAGTTTGAGACCCTGGGAAAGACATAGGATATTTTTTTCCCGGAAATCATCCCTTAAGGGGTGAAAATGGAGATGAAAGTTTGTATGGGGAATCAAGCTAGGGACGAACCCGAGTGAAGCGAGGATGAGTTGCTCTATTACATAAAGCCAAACAGTTTTTTTTGTAGATTGAACGCGGGCGTAGCCGCGGGTTCTGCTAGTAAGATTATAAAGAGCAAAGAATATATTGGAATGGGTCATACAAAGCTCTATTCCAACTGTGTCAACAATGCAATTGTCGTAAAGATGACAAGGCTCATCTTGATATAATTATCTCATTAATTATGTCTCACTTAATATAGTATAACGAGTCTCATGTATTTATAGTACATATTATAGAGTATTTTTTATTTGTAAAATTACTAATATTTATTTTCTATTGTTTTCAGGTATAGTGCGTGACGTGAAAAATGTCGCGGCAAAAAAATGATAGTGTAAAGTGGACTCTAGTTTTAGTGTTAGTTGTATTTAGTAAATTTGTGTATTCGCGACCTCAAGTCGAATCAACTATTTTAAGCATAAATGTTGAAACCGATAAATCAACAGATATCGAACCAAGGTATAGTTACAGGCATAATAATGTTAGTTATAAGTTACCCTTACAAAACATAGCAAAAGTTAATAACACTGACCTAAATTTTATTAATTTTTTGGCAAACATTAGTGATTTAAGGTATAAAGATAACTCATCTTTGAATACGACGCAATTTACTCCAAACATAAGAAGGAGTCGTGAAATGCAAAAAATAAATAAAGTTAAATTAAATAATAACAAACAAAGTAACAATCTGCAAAATCAAAATTATAATACAGGTGTTAGACCAACTTATTCAAATAAAATTTCATCTTCAAAAAGTTCAAATAAAATTAAAAAAGTTGTAACAAAATGGACGGATAACACTAAATATGACGATGTCAATATTTCCCACGAGCCTACTATATCAGAGGAAAGGGAAGGTAATTTAGTAAGTTCGCAAACACCCAATTTAAAAATACCTTATTCTAGTAATACAGAAAATTTTGATCAAGCAACAGAAATTAGCAAAAATGTATTTCATACACAATCCGATAACAAACGCTACACAGTTACATACCACAAACCTATGATACCACAATATGATGATGATCTTATTTATTCTGACAATGTTCAAATAACAGATTTTCCATATAATATACGACCCAATTATGTATATACTACACCTAAGCCCACACCTATTATTACGAATGTAGGCTACCCAAAACCTTGGCCTAGTTATCATACTTATCAAGAAAATAATAGACCGACTAGAAAACCTATAAAATCAACTACGGCAAAAAATCCTTATAACTATAATAATGTAAATCACTTTTCCCCGTTTCCATCTAATAATTTTGATGTTACTACGTTTCCAGCTTCTATGGGATACACGGATAGAATAGTAATAAGACCTGATCAATATAATGCTTCACCTGATGACTGCCCAACTATTTTCGTCACTCTCAATAATACTTTTCAAGGTCAAGGAAAGGAAGCTTGTCCTGATCTTAATATAGCAGTCAACACAAATGTAGTAAATAAAAATGTAGTGGTTGAATCTGATGAAGATACTGACATGACTTTAACTGACGTTTTTGGGTTGCCTTTAGAGGAATCTGGTAGTGATGAAAATACAAACGATTATGTAGAGTCACAAGAAAATGATGATGGTCAAACAGAAGATATATCTGATGAAGACTTAGAGATATCAAATTATAATGCCGCAAATAATATTGAATCAGAGTCTTCTGAACCTGCGAATTTTGCTTCACCTAGCTCTGCCCTTTCAACTTACACTCGACCAGGTCGACCAAATGATGATGATGATATTTTTTCTTCTATTATAGACTTCTTTAAGCCTAACTTAAAGTCATTTAGCTGGCTAGCAGCAATCAATCCTCTAAGTTTCGGTGCGTTAGCGTTCATTTTAACTCCATTAGTTGTATTATTTGCTGGAGTGTCAGGTTTGTTAGCTTTTTTTGGACCATGGGCTTTTTCTGGCAGAGAATTACCAGAAGTACATATGTATAGGCCGCAATGGCAACTAGATGATTATTACAATGGATTTCATTTGAATTCTATACCAAATGATAGAAAAGGACACGCTTCAGAAACAAGTACTTTAAATAGAAGTCGTAATTTTCATTATCAGCTGTTTTGGTTTTCTAAAGCAAAGGAAATTTTAAAAGTTATCGCAAAAAAAATAAAATTAAATGAAAGAATCGATGCTAGTACTCGCAAAAGTCGAAGAAAAAAAATTACACTTAGCTAAGTTACCTACTTGATAGTAATTTTTAATAGATAGTTTACTTTTTTATTTGACTTCTACATTGCTTTACACACAAAAAAGTGATTTTAAAAATAAAATAATCAATTTCGGTATAAAATATCAACCAATGTTATTGGGTATTTATAGAGATATTTTTATAAAAATGTTAAAAATAGTTTTCTTAATTGATTTTGAAATGTTTTGCCATGAAAGTGCTACGTTATACACATAATGTGGTCGAAACGGCTAAAGTGATTTTTAAACTTAAAGCTTTTTTATGTTTCCTAATAGGTTATCTACATATTATAGCTCTAATACTTGATATAAAGGTTTTATTTACTTAGTATATAGCTAATAGTTTCTCTTGAATACTTAGCTGATTATGCTATCTCAAACGTATAAAGCTTACAATATAAAGTAACTTAAACTATAATTGGACTTGTTTTCTTAGATAATTTTTAACTAATAAGGCAATAGCCGGTATTGTCGCTTATACTGATTAAATTTTGAAAATTCAAGTTTAGCCATGGCTTATAATTTGAATTTAGTTATCTATACTCATTTGAAAAATTCATTCTGTACTGTAACAAAATAATTTCTATTTTAATTATAATTATAATAATAATAAAATAACAAAAAAATATACATGTGATATTTATAATTAATATTTTGTATATATACATATATTAATTAATTGCTCTAGCAACATAGATAATAATAATAATTACTCTTACGTAATTTACAATAAATAATTTAAAATATAGAACAATTGTTTCATTACCTTTTCCAGATATAATACATTTTATAAAAAAATGTTTATGATACATACTATATTAAATATTTAAGTAAATTTTAAATGTGATATTCATTATTTGCATGTATATATATATATATATTTGAATAAATCATTCACCATTATTGATTTAATATTTTGATATTTCAGAATAGATGAAGAAGACAAAAACACTGAAAAACCTGTCGAAATAATAAACGACAACACTGCTAGAGATGTCAAGAATAAAGCGCCAGTTATCGGTGAATCCATTCAAAAAGTTGCAAATCAATTGCTTGACAAATCTAATAAAACCAACAACATGGCAGCTATACCAGACACGAGAATACCACCAAAATTAAAAACTCAGATTGTTCACAAACAAAAAATTAAAACCAGACATGAAGATGGAGATGAATCGTTTGAAAGTTCACATGTAGGTGTTGCAGTTCCAGTTACAATGGAGGAACTAGAATTAGAAAATAAAGAGGTTTCAAATGAATCTTCAACAACCAATGAAGGTATATCGACTTGGATTTTATTAAGTAATCCTGCTAATAAAGACAACGCTTCGGTATCAACAGAACCAACAAAATCAGAAGAGGCACAAAAGAAACAAAGACCTGCTGTTAGTAAAAATAAAACCAAAAAACCACAAAACAAAATACCAACTGCAAAGCGACCGATTATTGGAAGCACAAATAAAGCTGACTTAATAGCCGGAGGATCAGCAATAAATGAAAATGTTTATAATAAAATTAAAGACACAGTGCTAACTAATGTACAAAAAAATAAAAATTCTCCTGTTCGTACAACTACAGTAAGCACAACCACACTTCCCCCCTCTACTGAAGCTCTTACTACGAGAGCAACAGTTACCATACCAATTATAAAAGTTACATCAAAACCAGTAAAGAAAGCAAATAAAAATAAAGTAAAAGTTAGTACTACCACGACTGCGTTAGCCCCAGTTGTAACTGAATCAGCATTACTAAAGGTGGAACCAAAGGAACAAGAAATTGAATTAGAAATTAGTACACCTGCTACTACAACTAAGAAACCTAAACGTTCCTCAAACAAAAAGAAAACAAAAAAACGTAAAACTACCAAACCTAAAAAGGAAACCTCCACTGCAATAGCAACCGAACTTAAAACTACGAATAAAACGAAAATAAATAAAATTTCTAAAAAACCAAATACCACTACAGGGCCATTTACCACGCAAATATATAATTATTTTTCTAGAGAAGTTATGCCCTCAGTTGGAGTTGGAGTAATAGGTTTAGCTGGTTTAGTGGGTATTGCTAGTTACTTCTTATATCCTTTCGCCACACCAGTAAGACGTACTATTGAAGTTGACAAGAAAGATGATATTTATAGACATAATGCAGAAGAATATGCAAGTGAAGGAAATGGTCAACCCGAAGAAGAAATGTTAGGAACTGTGCTTGCTGGTATGCCCATAAATTCGAAACAAAAGTTCAACCCATATGCTGGTCAAACCGCCTATATTAACAGATATCCAGCCAAAAAGGATCAAGATATAAGATATCGTCATGTAGCTAATAATTATGAGCCAAACCGTAATGTACATTTTCCTCAACAAAAAACAGGTATAGCGCATGGTGCTGTGTATCCTGAACCTATTAATTATAATCATAATCATTATCAGTATGAAACGCGTCACGCATACACGACGGAAAAGAAGTATGAAAAACCGCAAACATATACTCCATATCCTGCAGTAGAACCAATATATGCAGCCCCACAAACTGGACCTTCAGCAATATCGTCGTATGGTAGTGACACGTCAAGTTCCGTGGTCTATGGTGTCAAGCCATCAGAAGACACCGATTTTAAACCAGTTTATCCATATGAGACTCAATTCTATAGTGAATCTACGAGCAGTCCTGTAACATATTCTCCTACTTCCATGTATTTAGGTTCAAATAATGAGGCAGACGATACAGATGATAGTAAATATTCAGAAGAGAACTCTGAAGCAGGATCAGCTGATAATAAATTCGTTGTAGGTAACGTGCCGAAAGAATTGACCGAGTCGGCCACACCAGTTGTTGTACCAGAGCATGGACCACGAAAGTTAAACAGAAGACGCAGAAATATACGTCGCAAACGAAACATTGTTGGTTCTATTGAGGAGATATTGAAAGCTGCCAGAGAAAATAAAGAAAATGAAATCTTTATAAGTAATGAAATTGATGAGGGATTGGGTGGCCCAATAACACCAAAACCTGTAGAAATAATACAATTAAAAAACGAAGATACAATAACACCTGAGAATAAAGATGTCTTTACTGTTTACGCTGTATCTATGGACCCAAGCAAAGAACAAGAAGTTGACGCTAGTACAATAAAAAATGAAGTTATTGAAAGTATTTCAACTTTACCTATAGACGATAAAAAACAAAATACTGAAACTGAAATGTCAAATGAACTAGATATAACAACAAAGTCTTTCAAAGTGTACGAAGTGTTCCCAACAACAAAAATAGAAGATGAAAGCAGTCCTTTAATAAACGAGGATGGTTCTAAATACTCTACAGTTAGAAACGTTAACACCGAAACTACCACAGAAGTTAAATTGGAATCTACATCGACTGTGCCGTATGGACCTAATAAGCCAAAACCGACATTTACACCAGAAGTAATCACATATCCTCCTCTTACTAGCGGTGGAATATTCGATTTTATTAAAAGACTCGTCGAATTCAAATACAGACTAGGTTTAAGTATATTACAAAGTACTTCTGAGTCTTTGAGCAGATATTTACGCAACTTAGATGATAAATTGGTGAAAAATAAATAGGCGTGATACTCATTTTTTAAAACCATAACATATATCTTAGAATAAAGTTAACTCATAGTGTAGCTTTTTAAAAGATATACTCATTTGAAGTTTAGAACATATCGGATTTAAAATTGATTCAGGATAAAGCTAGGGAAAATCTATGAAATGTTTAGATACGCTCTCTTTTTTGTAACAAATATGTAACAGAATACACAAAATATATACATATACATAATTTTTTTGGATTTTGATGTATTTTTAGGATAATTGTAGTGGATATTGGCACTTTATTATGGCGGTGAATTATTATTTTCATTGTTTGAGTGAAATAATTGCATTTAATGATTAATGTTTAAGTTTTAAAGTATATACTTTCAGAACGATTTCCTCGAAATAAATTGAGGGAGACCTACTGAATTTATATTGTGATATGGAAATTATTTGTAGGGAAAAGTTAATCGAATTTTCTAACTTAGTTTTATTATGCGTACATAAGTAACATTTGATGATGAAAAAGATGATTTTATGTACATGCACCATGATATTTTATAAAATGTTGACATTTTTAAAATTAAACATGACCATGTAGAATAAGGACAACTCTCAACTGTGAACGGACCTTATGGTAAGCAGTAAAAGGTGCAATAAATTCGATCCAAAATCGTGTACAACTACTCGATAAAAGTATCATAAATCAAAACTGACTGACGCAGAGCTTAAAACGAGGACCTACTAGCATGAAATTTTGCACAGATTTTGATATTAAATTAAAAACGAACTTTCATTGTTGTAATTACAAATCTAAAAATAAAAAATATGGCAACCAATTCTATTGATTAATTTCTATTGAAATTTAGCGGTAAATACTTGTAATAGTGCTGAGAAGAAATATGAATACAAGGAAAAGTACTTTTGTTGAAATATTATTTTTGAAATCGTCTTCATTTCATTTTATATCGTCATCTATAATTATTATGTAATCATTGTGTAAATATTAAAATTAAAGATTTTTTTATCATATAAGTGTTTGATTTTTTTCTTTTAAGTACATTTAAGAGTTCTGTAGGGTGTGTTCTACTTGACTATTTATTCATCTATACAGATAAATAAAATTGAAGTGTCTGTTTGTAATGTCAAAATAACAGCTTTTTATAAGAAAAACACAATTTTTAAAATTTTTATGTCTGTCCGTTCTGGCTAATCTCCGAAACGGCTGGGCCGATTTTGACGGGACTTTCACTGGGAAGTGTTAACTGTCATCAAAATATTGTAGGGCATATACATTTGTAAGGCACATTTTACAAATGTAATAATCTTTTTTTTCGCAAGGCTTTTTTCCGTAGGTACTTAGGCAGCATTCCCCGTTGTGCGTGATCTTGTGCTAGTTGTGTGTTATTCTTTCCACCCGAGAGCGTCTCAGTAGTCTAACAGATTACCGGTATCCTGGAGAAAAAAATGTAATAATATTAAATTGTTAAATATTTCATTAATTTATACTAGCATCTGTTTGTATTTATTGTATTTATCTTGTATATAATACTTTATTGGGATGTCTTGTTTGTTGTAGGTCCAGATCATACAATTGATTGCTCAGAATATTTTATATGCACAGAGACCTAGACCAGAGACCAGTGTAAATATCTCTTTTTTTAATTGGTTAATACCATATCTACACCGTATCTTCTTTCTAAACAACAGTAGCGAAGTAACATGTCTAAAAGTCAAATAACAAAGAAATGAATTGAAAGCACATTTTATTTCACAACTGGCAATTAGGTAGTGCGATAATTTATGTTTTTAATAGATATTTTTGTACCTACATTTAAAAAGTATAATATTTCTATAGTACGTTTTTATAATACACTTGCTACTTATAATGTATCTTATTTTATTTAAATAAACAAGATAGATAATTATTCTAGATTTTTATTTATTAACAAAAAAAGTATATTATTTATTAGATTTAAATACAGCGCCATCTATCGTAATAATATGGAATCAGTTTGTTGTAGTTACGGGCTTAAGGATCTTTAATTTGCTTTCTTTTGAATAGATGGCGCTGCTACATAAATTAAAATTTAGTTTGTACTAATATCGATATTATTAATTATAATTTGATATTCTATCTATCCTATAAATATAGTACAAAAATTCAAAACAAAATCATAAAAATTGTTCAACAAAAAACTCAAAAATGGAATGCAAATTGTAATAATGTATCAACGCAAGTACATACTTATGAAAATTCCCGAAAAACTATAAATCTTACTAATATTATAAATGTGAAAGTTTGTCAGGATGGATGGATGTTTGTTATTCTTTCACGCCAGAACGGCTGAAAGGATCTGGATGAAATTTGGCACAGAAATAGATTATAGTCTGGAATAGCACCTAGGTTACTTTTTATCCCTGAAAAATGCATCGTTCCCGTGGAAAAGATTTGTTTTTGTCTAGAGACGAACCCGAAGCGAAGCCAGGATGAGTCACTAGTAATTAATTAATAATAATATGTAGTAACTGTCAGCGCTTGCGCAGACGACACGGAAATATTAAAATATAAATTATTAAAATAGATATTAATTGCTCATATTTTGTAGTACGGTTATTTAAAAATATCCAAACTATTGGAATGGAACTGTTAATTTTAATATGTTCTCATACAGTTATTTGCACGACATCAAAGGTCAAACAAGCAATATTATATGTTATCTTACAACTAATAAAATGTAGCTTATGCCACTTTCTTCCGAATCCTCTACCCTATCTATGGGTACCTATTATCTATAGAAAGATTTTGAAGTTATACTTACGTTTAGAAAAATATTTGAGAGTAAAATTTTGACGATGCGCGTGCACACCGACAGCCAAAAAGCACCATGATGAAGTTAGGTGCATTCCTTTTACAAACAGAGAGTTGTGACATACGGGATGAAATCTTCTTACGTGTAAGTAGGTATAATTTCTTACGTGCGTACATAAGTACACACACACGTTTTATTTTAAAAGTTCAAATTACCCTTTTCGGAGTTTAGAATATTCAGAGGAACAGATAAAATCTTTAAATAAGTGGACCCTCTGAACACTTTGTTTCTAAATAAAGTAAGTAGACGTGACGCGCTGCCCTCAAGTAATACTCCATGTCATGGAAACTGCTTTAGTACGCCCTTAGGGATAGAAGGGTTTTTACAGGACACTTTGATACGCATAATAAGGCATAAATGTACTTTAGTTACTTTGGTTTATTTTTAAGAAAATTGGAAAATTTCGTAATTTAGTTTTACTTTAAATTTTACATTATATAATATTACTAACAAAACCTGCGGCTATGCCCGCATTAAATCAAAAAAAAAACTTTTGCTTTATGTTATACATGGTTCGTCGCTATAAACCTACCTATTTATATAATACTAGCGACTCACCCTCGCTTCACTCGGGTTCGTCCCTAGCTTGCTTCTCGATACATACTTTTATCCCCATTTTCACCCCTTAAGGGATGATTTCTGGAATAAAAAGTATTCTATGTCCTTTCTAGAGTCTCAAACTATCTTATCACTAAATTTCATCTAAATCGGTTAAGTAGATCCAGAGATTACCCCTACAACCTCACAAACGTACAAACTTTGCCTATTTAAACGAGCAATATATATATATATATATACAAGATATATCTGCATCTCGGTAACGGCTCCAACGATTTTCATGAAATTTAGTATACAGGGGGTTTCGGGGGCAATAAATCGATCAAGATTAGTTTTATGTCTGGGAAAACGCGTGTTTTCATACGGTTTTGTTTCGCATTATTCTACGCAAAATATGGTCGCTAATTTGCACGCTAGGACATAAGCATCGTGGTCAAGCGTCCAAGGCGCAAGTTTGACAAACACAGATGTCTGGGTTCGTATCCGACCGGGATATAAAGTTTTTACTTTTGTTTTTTTGTATTTATTAAAAATTTTAGTTTGTTTTTTTTTTCTAATGATTTTTTGGCCAAAAACACCGAGCGAGGCTCGGTCTCCCAGGTACTATACATTATACATACTAGCGGCTCACCCTCGCTTTGCTCGGGTTCGTCATTAGTGAAAAATAAAAACAAATCTATTATTTGAGAACCGTACATTTTTGTGGATAAAAAGTGAAATGCGCTATTCCAGACTACAATCTATTTTTATGCCAAATTTCATCCAGATCCGTTCAGCCGTCCTGCCGTGATTGAGTAATTCGCATTTATATAGTAGTACGATACGTGTTAATATTCTTTACAACTTTCTTCTATCCAGTCAATTTCATACACTGACTCTAAGTAAGGGAAAGGCACGATAAGAACAATAAAGCACTCATTCCTAAGTAAAGTAGTTAAGAAAACCGCAAGTGATTTGGAACACGGAAACAAAGGTCGTTACTGGATTAATGGTGATGCCTGCTGTATATTTCCTTGATAGGTAGGTACCTATACACATCCGTAAGCTCATATCCGAAAATCTATACATAATAATATAGTAAAAATGTAACTAATTGCTGTCTGTACATGGAAGATATTTGAGAAAAACTATTATTGGGGGTCTTTATTGAAGCAATAAAACCCAAAATAATAATTTTTAGAATTTTTGTCTTTGTGTATGTTTGTCTGTGCGTTTGTGCGCGCTAATTACAGAAACGGCTTAACCGATTTGAATGCGGTTTTCACTAGTGTATTTATGTAAGCTTCACTTAACATTCAGTATTTGTTTCATTTCAATCGGTTCATAAATAGAAAAAGTTATGTCAATTTAAAGGGTCACCTACAGACGAAGCCGAGCGAAGCGAGGTTGAGTCGCTAGTATAGTAATATATTGCTACACGTAGGCATTGTTTTTTATTTTATCATTTATTACTCCTTCACTAAAGATGAATATGAGCCGTTTTAGTAAAATAAATAATTACAGTTTTAAAAAACTATAAGGACGTGCTTTTAAGCAAATCTGCGGAGTGATAATGAGACTCCTCGAAAAAGAATTAAAGAGTAAACTTTCCACATT